AAAGAATAAAATTTAAATCCTTAAATAGAGATAGAAGCTAAAAAATTTTTCCAATCAAACTTGAATGAAATTCTTTTCTGAAAATCTTTTCCTTTTTTTTTTTTTGAAATCTTTTCCTTTCAAATTTAATTCTTTATGCTATTTATGATATTAAAAATTGCAATTACTTGTTATTTTTGTCATTTCCTATGATAAGTACTGTGAAGACATTACAGTATGATCAATTCAATTTTCTGATTGCCATTTCGTTTTTCCTTTCTTTTTTTTTTTTGCTTAGTGTTATAATTAGCGCAAATAATGTCGCATGTTAAATAATTAAATGGAGCAAATTGATGACGAAATTTTCCGGAAATTTTGTTGTCCAGAAATTTGGTAATTGAAAAATCTGCTCACTAATTTATACATTGCATTTGGCATTTCATTTAAAATTCCCCATTAATGTGCTCCAAAAATAATTTTAGAACTTGTTGTCTTGGATCAATCAGTTAAACCGGAAATGAAAAAGGGAAATACGTAATTCTATTAATTTTTGATTTAATATTGCAATTAATGTTCACTAACAGTAAAGAATTCCTTTATTTATTGTTATGAATAGGAAAATAAAAGAAAGAAATGAAATGCTTTCCAAAGTATCGTATTACCACAAAAATTAAACTAACTTCTCAGTCAAAGTCATTTCAATACTTTCCTTAACTTGTTATATTTTACCGTAACGGAAATGTAATAATTAATAAATAACAGATCAATAATTGAGAAAAAATTTTGATGGGAGATGAAAGATCGATCCATCAGGATAAATTGAATTAGACCACAATTTATCGTACTTCCGGACTTTTGCCATTGTATGATTTTTTCAGAAAAGATTTAAGAATGTACGAAACTTTTAGGTTAAACTTTGGAATTATACAGTAATCCTGGATGAGATTTGTAAATATATCCACATTTTCAGACACAATGATCCTCGGGTTCGGGCTTTTATTATTGTATAATGTTTCCGGAAGGTTTAAAAATGTACGGAATTTCCAGGTTCAATGTGGGAATTATACAGTAACCCTGGATGAAATTTGGCAATGCACCCATATTTCGGAAACAATGATCCTCGGGTTCGGGCTTTTACCATTGTATGATGTTTCCGGAAAAGGTCTAAGAACGCACGGAACTTTCAAGTTGAACTTTGGAATTATACAGTAATCCTGGATGAGACTTGGTAATATATCCACATTTCACACACAATGATCCTTGGATCCGGGCTTTTGTCACTGTATGATGTTTCCGGAAGAGATTTAAGGATATACGGAACTTTCAGGTTGAACTTTGGAATTATACAGTAATCTTGGATGAGATTCGCAATGATCGTTAGATCGAAACTATCCGATTGTTTGATGTTTCCGGAGAGGATACGGAAATGTACGGAACTTTCGGGTTAAGCTTGTGAATGATACAATAACCATGGACAAAATTTGGCGCTGTACCGTACACTGAGAAAAGATTTGCTATCATACAGTATTTCCGGAAAGGATTTGACACTCTACAATACTTCCGGAGAGAATTTAGGATTATTTGGTGTTGTTGGAAAAGTATGATAGTTTTGAAAGAAAAAGAAACGACAAGAAATGAGGTAAGAAAATTTGCATATTAACTGGAAGGAGCTAACAGCAAGTTCGAATGATATGCAAATTTGAAGAGATAACAATTTTCCCAGAAATAGAACCACATTCGCCACTCCTTCCATTCATTTTGCAACAATCGGGTTGATAGGTGCAGTCGGGTAAGGTGATAAGCTCTGAGGTACGTGTATGTGGAGAGACATAGTTTAGGATGTTTAATGATTAATACCGGGAGTTTATGTGTATGGAAGGTCACCTGAATTTAGATGGATCGAAAGCAGGATCCGGAAGATGGATTAAGAGGAGAATTTGGGAGATGGATTGTAAAAAACATTCACGAAACGGGTCCAGGAATGGGACTGTGGAAAGATGTTTGAACAGATGGATCGAAGAGAGGTTCGGAAGATGGATGAAAAGGATTATATCCGGAAAATGAACAGGAAGAAACTTGAGGAGGATTCCGGAAATTGGTTAAAAAGATTGGGAGAATGGTTCCGGGATTAGTCCGGAAAAAGATGTAAGGAGGATTCAAAAAGTGATTGGAGAAAATTGAGGAGATCATGAGGAGAATTCATGAGATGGGGAAAGTTGAAAAGACGAATCTCTGGCAGGATTCGGAAAATTGATCAGGAAAAAGATTGAGAAGAAGGAAGACGGGATTTTGTCGGGAAAAGGAATTAGAGAGAAAGAGAGAGAGGAACTGTAATGATGAATTGGCAAATCTAGAGAAGAGGGTTGTAGAAATGGACACTGGAAATGATTCGGGAAATGGATAAAGAAATGAATTAAAGAATGGATCGAGAAGAGGATTCCGGAAGTGGATCAAGAAAAGAGCTGAGGGAACGGTTTAGAGAGTTTTCGGGAAAAAGGATCAGAAAGAGCGAGACTATAAGGAGGACTTGGCAAATCGATAAAGAAGAGGACCGAAAAGGTGCACGGTGGGAGAGAGTTCGGAAAATGGGTAGGGATAGTGGGATTAAGAAAATGGATCGAGAGGGGAATTCCGGAAGTGGATCAGGAGAAAATTTTGAGTGTGATTTAGGGAGAAACGGAATAAAGTGTTATTGTTTGGTTATTTACGGTAGTTATAGCAATAGATAAGGCAAAAATGAATTTATTTTTATCAATAACTTATTTAAAAAAAAGAGATTATAATAGATAAATTAAATAAGAATTTCTCCACAGCAATTCTTCGTACTGTGATCCCCGCTTAGCGGTATTTCTGGTTACTGGTTTATGTTACAGTTAATCGTAATTTTGAAAGATATTAAAGAAGAGAGCATAATAATTGTTAAATAATTTGAATTATAATAATTTAATTTGAAAGTTTTTTTTTTTTGAGAAAAAATAATGAAAGAGAGTAGGAAAATAAATTTTGAATTTATTTCTATTAAAATATACTTATACTAAAGAAATCGATATCGTGAAGCATATGCTTTATTCATGAATTTCTCATTTTATTGATGATAATTTTAAATTAATTTCAGGTTTCATCAATAATTCTACATCTTTAATCATACAAAATGTCATCATTTTTGAATCAAAATGTTCGTATGGTACGAAATATTTCACGAAGTTCCTCACCAGAAATTCCAATACAAGGAAATATTCCGGAAAATATGAGAGGAGAACATAATGATAGATCGGATGAGCATGATAGAATTGAACGTATTAGACAACGAATGTTGGAATATCGAACAATTTTACAATGTTTACGATCATTACGGACAGCGGAAAATATGAGATATCGTACGAAGCATAGGGCAATGAAGGAAAAATGTGAAAGATATAAGCAGGAAGTTGTTGAAGAACGAGTAAGTTATAAATGATATTTTAATTATATAAAATTGTTTTAAAAAAAAAAAATATTTAAATTATGGAATGAAATTAATTTGATATAAACAGGAAATTGTTGAAGGATGAGTAAGTTAAAAATGAATTTATAAAAAGTGATATTTTAGTTATATAAAATTGTTTTTAAAGAAAAAGTATTTAAATTAAGAAATGAAATTAAAATAAAATTTTCTTTTTTTATTTTTCTCCCTTTTTTTATTTATTTATTTCTTCTTTTAATATTTAAATCAAAAAAAGTAATTTTAAAAAAAAGTACAAATTTATGAAGAGATACAATTATTACAAAAAAAAAAAAAAAAGTGAGGCATATTAAAGTATAATAGCATATAATAGCATTTAGCTTAAAAGGAAAATGAAATAGTAATGAATTCTGATACTTATGTATATACCGTAATTTAATACAATACTTTCTTTATATTATACTTTAATATACTTTATTATATTATACTTTAATATACTTTATTATACTTTATATCTTAATATATTACACTATTATATATTATACTTCATGCTTTAATATGTTTCACTTTACTATCTTATACTTTATTATATTATACTGTATACTTGAATATACTTCACCATTATACTTCACTATTATACTTTATTATATTATACTGTATACTTGAATGTACTTCACCATTATACTTTACTATTATACTTTATTATATTATACATTATATTTTATATATATACTGTACTTTTATACTTTGTTACATTATATTTTAATACTATTACAAATATTGTATACTTTAAAATATCATACTGTAATATTGTTAAAAGGAATAAAGCATTCGAATTAGGAAACATTTCATCGTGATTTTTGGGATGACAAATGATGACATCTAACAACAGTATGCTATTGGATACACATATGTAAAGAAAATTTGAATTGAATTCAACGACAAATTATTTCCTTACTTTTCAATCAGATATATTAGACAATAAGTATAATTCTAATATGATATATAATTTAACAAATAATGATATAATTACCGTATAATTTTCCATTAAATAATAGAATTTTCTTTTCTTAATTTAGTACAATATTTATGTCACGAAATGATCATAAATAATGTTGGATTAGAAGAAAAAGAAAAAATAAAATACAGAAATTATGCAAATTCAACTAAATTTTTAAATCAAATTTTTAAAAAAAAAAACAAAACAATTTCTTTAACCCAAATAAATTTTAAGTGTAAATTTGGAAAGTAAGTAATTTTTTTTTTTTTTTTTTGGAGTAAATAATTATTCTTTTACCTTCTATAATGTTTTTATTTATTTTTAACTATTCTCTTTTTCCTCGTTTTTTTTTCTTTGTTTACTTTCAAGAATATTATAATAGCAATGAGTTTATGGTAATATTTTTTTCTTTCATATTTCAGAGATTAAATGCTAATTTTCAAGAAAGTTTTGCCCATTTGGAACAACAGCTTATTAATTCCACTCAACGATTATTTCATTTGCAAACGGAAAATGAACGTGAACGACGTAATATGGGTCATTTGGAAGAGAATTTCGAGCAAACGATTGAAATATTAACTCAGGTTAGAAAAAAAAATGCGACAAAAAATCGTCTCTTAAATCGTACAACAAAAAATGCTTTACATGCAAAACGTATTGCTGAACGGAAACTTCGGGAAGCATTGGAAAAGTATGAAGCAGAAGTTAAACATGTCAACGAATTAGAAGATGTGACAAAAACGTTACAATCAACGGTTCAACAATTAAAATTGGAATTGGAACAAAAGGAACGATTATGTAATGATTCAAAAAAACGTTTAGCAATACATAGTGAAGCAGCATCATTAGCATATCGACAAATTCATGAAGCAAATAAGAAAACTGCTGAGCTTGTAAATGAAAATGAGAAATTACATTCACAATTTACCAATACACATACACAATTAATTGATTCTCGTCAAGCACATTGTAAAATGGAAATGGAAATGAATCGAATTAAATTAGAAAATGCTAAACATTGTGATGAATTACAAAAAATGAAGCAAATAATTGAAGTTGAAATGGCATCATTAATTCAAATTGTTGAACAAAATCGTATTCTTCTCATACAAAAAGGAAATGCAATTAATTTATTAACAAATGAAAATTTGGAAATTAAAAAACGAACACAACAATTGGAAGAAGTGAAAAAAAATATGGAAGAAGCAATTCGTAGTAGTGAAGCAGTCCTTCAAGCACAACATCAAGAATTACAAGTGTATGAAGCAAATCAAAAAATTCGTGAACGTGAAATAAATATGTTAAAAGTACGACAACATGGTTTAGCAACAAATCGTACTGTAATGCTTGAACAAGAAGCTGAACAATTTCAACAAGTTGTTCATCATTCTGTTTGTCGTGTTATTGGATTTCGTAATCAAATTGCATGTATGCTTGAAAATGCTGATGTAAGTGGATTTTTTTTTTTCTTTTTTCTTTTTTTTCTCTCTCTCCCTCCCTTTCATCCACTTTGTTTTCCAAAAAAAAAAAAAAGTTGATTAGTTTTAAATTATTAAGTTTTCTTTTTTTTTTTTTTTGAAAAATAATAATTTAGATTGTAAGTGTTCATCAAAATTGATAAGTAAATTTTTCATTTTTTTTTTTAAAAGAACAAAAAAAGCTTTCAAGTAATTTTTGTCTAATTTTTTCCTTTTCCCATATTTATGCTTGATATTTTCCTATCTGTGATAATTATTATAATTAACTAATTAATTTGTTATATTTTAATATTGCTTATTTAAATTTTTTTTTTTCAGAAATTTCTTAGAATTATGTTCCAAGAAAATGCAACATTTTTGCAAGTAGATGGATTGAACGTACAAGCGAACTATGTTCCTACACATGATGTATTATTTTTCCATTTTTTATCTTTTTTTAAACTAAATAATTTCTAGTAGTAATGTATATAATATTAGAAATTATAGGTAAGTTACATTTAAGATATATTATTAAATTTTTTAATGTCATTAAATGTGTTTTATTTTTTAATTAAATGTTTTAAATTTTAAACTTGAAAATGTCTTTTCTTGAAAAGACTCGAGAAGGGACTTGGAAATTTTTGAATTTTTGGAAGAAAATTTCAACTTTTACACTTGAAAATTTTCAATATTTTGGAATGCAAGAGAAAAAAATAAACATTTTGCCTTCCTCTTCCTTTTGAATACCTAAAACATTTCTAATCTGTTTACTTTTTTTTTTTTTTGAATGATATATTATTTGTTTTCCTTTTTTGTTTTCTAGCAAGTTATTGAGCAGAATCCAATGAATCAGAATATGCTTGGTGGACGAATGCAGAAGAATTATGTATTTCCGAGTGCGCGTAAGTTCTGGATAAACTTATATTTAACTATAGGGTTAAATTTTGAATACGAATTACTTCCTTGTTTTATGCTTATTAAGAAAGATTGATGATGTCTATTTATTTTGAAAAAGTTAAACAGATCAATGTTTTCCTGATTTCTTGATCTGCTTTTTCTTTTTTTAACTGATCAAGAAATCAGGAAAATATTTGAGTACAATTTTTGATTAGCCGATTTTTTTTCCTGTTGCTTTTCCTGATATTTTGAATGGTACAATTTGAATGAAATCAAATTCATCAATTGAATTTTTTGTTTAAATTACATTCATTGTATTAAGGAAAAGAATGTGGAATGATAAAATTGAAATATTTGAAATTTAAAATTAATTTAAATTTTTTGCAAAAATTTTTAGCTTCACATAGAGTTATGAATGATGATGTTGAATTACCGGGACCTTCGAATCGTTATCATCATGGACAACAGAATATTCCGTTACATGGCGATGATATTAATGAGGTGTTACTACTAGTCAACTCTTTTAAATCATTCTATTCTAAGTTATCAATTATCAATCATTCTATTCTAAGTTATGCCAGCTATCAATCATTTCTTTTACATACTACAGAAATTGAATCAAATCAGGATAGTATTATTTAAGCTATTATTAAGGTACATTGTATTTCATTAGGAAATGATTTTATCATTCTATTTTCATTTGATCAAATTACTCATTAATTTCATTAAACAGAGAGGGAAAAAGCGGAAGATAAGTGCAAAAATAAGAGAACAGTTGGATATAAAGCTAATGTCAACAATTTAGATAAACATTGTCAGTTGTTTTTTGTTTTGTTCTTTTTAAATATAAAATTTTAATTCATTTTTTTTATTTTCAGATAAAAATCAAAATATGCTAAGGTTTTTCGCTTTTCGATATGGTATTACCTCAATCGGATGGAATTGGAATTATTTTCATCGTTTAATTAATTTAAATAAGTACTAGAATTATATACTATCATGTTTTGTGGTTTTTTGTCAGCTGTTTTATAACGTTTGTTGATTGCTTATTTCTTTTTTCTTGTTAATTGTTTTCTAACATTTGTTAATTATTTACTTCTGTTAATTAGTATTTGAGGTTTATTAATTGTTAACATTTTTTTTTAATTATTATCTAATGTTTGTTAATTGCTTGTTTCTATTTTTAAATTTTTTTTTTGTGAAATTATATTATTAATCGTAAAAATTCTCAAATGAGTTATTTTTTTTTAATCAAAAAAGAGCTAAAAGTGATGAAAAAAAGGTGTGAAATTAGCATCAAAATATGTTTACCTGAAGTTTTTTTTTTCCGTTTTTCTTATTTTTTTTTTTTTTTTCGCTGCAAATAAAAAAATACGAAAAAAAAATTTTTGATTTTAATAAGTGTTTTTTTTTCAGATTACCTAGTCATTCATTTACTTATTTTTTATTTTTTATTAATTATTTCCTAACAATTAATAATTAGTAAAAATTTGCATTGTTATTTCTAATTCTTTGTTTACTAAAACTAGAAAAAATACGGAAAAAAACCTTAAAAAAATTTTTTCCCTTCTTTCCTAATTTTTTTTTAATAAGTGTTTTTTTAAATTATCTAGTCACGGTTTACTTGTTTTTGTTTTTTAATTAACTGTTTTCTTGTAATTAGTAATTAACAAAAATTTTACTACTATTCCTAATTATTTCTTTACTAGAACTAGAAAAAACAAAAAAAAAAAAAAAACTCTCGAAAGAAAATTCTGGCCTTCTATTTTATTAAAAGTTCCAATAAGTGTTTTTTTTTTCAGGTAATCTGATCATATATTTGCTTCTCTTATCCTTTTTAATTAATCATATTCTAATAATTAAAATTGGTAAATATTTCTAATCCTTCCCTCAATAGAAAAAATACAAAAAAAAAAAACAAAAAATTCTGGAAAAAAAAATTTTAATCCTCTAAATTAATTTCAATGAATATTTTTTTTCAAATAATCTTGCCGTATGTTTGATTGTTTTTGCCTTTTATGAATTGTTTTCTAATTCTCTTATTTTATTGTACTTTCTTATAGAATTGAATGAAAAAAAAAAGAAAAAGATTTCAACGAATGTAAAAATTTTAACGAAAATTTTTTCATTTTTTTCTTTTCATTATTTAAACTTTTTTGAATTTTTGAAAATAAACCAAAGTGGAAACAAAATGGGAAACAGTTATTTTTTTATATTTATTATTTTCCAAAATTTTATTTCTTATATAAATGCTTGTTTTTTCTTTTTTTTTCGCTATTTTTCTTGCTAATTATTCAATCTGACATTTGTTTTAGAAAATTTTCTTTTTTTCTTTTTTTTTTTTGTTTACAAATTATCTCTGAAACTATCAGAAAATTAAACCATCCTTTGTAAAACGAAGTGTTCGTAGATAAATTTTCAATTTTTTCTTCCTTCTTTTTCTTTTTCTGAATTTTCACTTTCAATATGCTGAACTTTTCCCAAAATTTTTAAAAATTTTTAGCCATTAATTTAAATAATATTAAATCAAACCAATTGAAACAATGGCGAAAAAAAAACCCCTTTCATTCTCCATTTTTATTGTTCCTTTAAATTGTATTTCTAACAATTAGTAAATTTTTATTTAAATTTTTTGATTGTTTGTTAAATGTAAAAACCTAACAGTTGTATTAATGATATTTGTTCTTTTTCCTTGCTAATTTTCATAAATTAATTTATAAATTATTACCAAATTACGAGCTATCAGCGAAATAAATATCCATGGGAAAGTTTGATCATTTAAAATATTTCAGATATTTTCCTCCTCTTCAAAATTTTTTTCGCTCTGTTTTTTTTTTTTGTTTTTTGATCATTTTAACGAATCATCTTAAACGGCAAGAAGTTAGATTAATTGCAACAACTGGAGAAACAGTTATTTCTCATCTTTGTCATTTCCTGAGCTTTTGTTTCTTATTTTTATGGTTTTCGATTTTAATGTTTTTTTTTTTTTTTTGTATGTTTATTAAATGCTAACATTTGACATTTTATGTTAATGAAGTTTTTGTTTTTGTTATTGTTGTTGTTGTTAATTTATTACAAATTAATCAGTACATTATGAATTATTGCGAAAACAAAGGTAACAAAAGTTTAAGACATGTCTATAATAATGAGATCGTATCCATCATCTTAATTTTATCATCTGAGATATACTTGAAAAAAAAAAAAAGGAATTTCATAAAATAAACAAGACAATATTTAATCTAATATATTGAAATTTTTGAAAAAAAATCAGGTAAATATTTTAAAAAAAAAACGAAATGAAAATTTAACAAATGAATGGCAGCTGTGTATTAGTTTAGGAAGAGAAACGAAAATTTTTAAATTCACTGTATCTTTTGTTTTTTTTTTTTAAAAAAAAGCTATTTTAAAATTTATTTTTTCTTTTAGCTTTTACAATTTATCTCAATCTATATGTTTCACTGCTTTCTTTAAATCTTTTTTTTTTTTACGACAAATATATGCAATTTATTGAAAAGTTTATGAAATATATAAAAATTTCTGGAGGATTAAATTGTTTTATCAAAAATGCAAATAATAATTTGGCAAAGTTTAAAGATTCAAATTATTTAAAATTTGATATTTACAATATTTATTATTAGT